GAATAACATCGGAGATCTCTGTCCAGAAGAGCGCAGTCCTGGGAACAGCTAAGATACTGCGCAGGACCCTCAAGCTCCCAGGCCTCTGGTAGAGGATCCGAGCTTGAAGGATAAACCGCCCGCAGGGGTGCTGGGTGTTTTTTTTTTTTTTTATATATATATATTGTCCCCCTGGAAAGGCGGACAAGAGGTGCACGTTGAATATTATGTCCAAAGAAATTTGAAACGCAGTGTGTAAAATGGTCGTTTACATTGTGAAACGCTTAAGTATGAGACACCATAACCTTATTTTATGGCCCTTAAAATGAAACTAAAAGGGAAGGAGAAAAAATGTAACAGGCTCTCCTGTGTATGAGTTAGCAGAGCAGCAAAACAATTTCTGATAAATTTAAGCCAGGCTACTATTATGAGGTTGTTATTATACTACAGTGCTCTAGTAATTATAGAAAACAGTCAGGTTGACTGGCTGAAATTACCCATTGTGTAATGCAGTGATAAAGTATTATGAGAAGGGTTATTTGCACATTGCTAGTATCGGATAGAGTGTGAAGGCTATTGTGAAGGTTATTGTTTTGGTTATTTGTAAAATATGTGTGCGTCTGACTATATGCATAAGCATACATGTGTATGTGTGTGTTTTACCCTTGCTTGTAAGGGTGTGAGCAGTTGTGACAGCTTGCTAATGTGCAGCACATGTGTTCTTGAGTTATTTTGGTCACACGGACACAGCGGGGTTTGAGCTGTGCAGCATTGGTAACTTTCTGGATGGTTATGTTTTCTTCTTCTCCTATGTGTGTGTGTGTGTGTGTGTGCGTATTAATGAGTGAGTCATAATGCTAGTTAAAGTCACAAGGACCTAGTGTATTACATGTGTTAGACCTTGACCTCAACCTCTGCAGGGCAGAAAAGAGGTTAATCTCTTTAAATCTGTCTTTTGATACTTTGCCTTTAGATCAGAAACCATATTGGAATGTAGTTACCGTGACAATCACTCACTGGTTTTAGACTGTGCACTCTGAAGCCTCAATATTATTGTTTTTACTGGCACCATGTTGGGTTTTTTGGAGTGACTATGAAGTGACCATATTTACAGTCTGATTTGTCATAACTTTTCCGTTTTGTAGTAAGCCTTTCCTTTCCTGTCACTTCTTCACCCTGACCTGTCTGATTTGGCTCAGCAGAACTAAAATATATATCCTGCTGCTTTTACACACGCACTCACATAATGCTCAGCGATTCTCTGCGCGATCAACCTCTCACATGTTTAAGCTGCGGGAGATTTCACTTGTCATGTTTGCATAGTAAGCTAACGATTAATAAGACCATGTCAGAGGAATTGGTGCACAAATCATCACTCACAGATCAGTGCTGTCGCTCTCTATACACAGTTCGCGCGATTGCAAAGTGAAAGCAAAAAACAAGCGCAAATTCAAACGCGATTTCAATATGTCACATATTGACAGTGGCTCACCGATGCCAATGACATAATTACCCAGCTACATTTCCGAAAGAATGCAAAAGCATTGACATATATTTTTCCTTCCTATGATAGCCCGACGGGCAGGGAAGAGATAGATTTTGGTAACCCGACTGGATCTGATTGAGGAATCACTCATTTTTGGAAAAGAGAGTTTATTACAGAGAAATGGCTCTTTCCAAAATAAAAGCTACACTATCCGCTTCTTCTGGGCTATATTCTCAGCAGCATATTAAACATATCAGGTCCCCATAAGGAGAATCATGTGCTAACAGCTGTCTAAATGACTCGAGTAAAGTTTGTAGCATGCGTGCTTGTTGTTTTTGTCTGCTTCCACTTGTCTTTGCACTAGGATGATGTCGGCGTAAATGTGCAGTCATATTCGTTGTGTTCCCACTAGTGCTGTCAGCGTAAATCTTGTTGAAATGACCTTAACGCCGCAACACAGCAAATCTCCGTTAACGAGCTACCGCGGATCGCCCCGTGCATGGGGCTGGACGGCCAACACGTTAACGAGCTAACTGCGCTACCACACTAGCTCCCACCCATGTAATTGAGCTTTGCGTGGCACATCCAACATACTGTTTTACTTTAGTCCATGACGCGCTTACCTTCAGGGTCATACTTCACATAAAAACCAAAATAGTTCCAAACGCCAGATCTGAATGAGGATGGGGGAGGTTCAATTTGCCATGTTGCAAGGAGAGCTTAACTTCTGTCTCGCTAGCTTGCCCTGCGCTCATTGAATCTGCGTTCGACTACTCCGCCTAGGCTGCACTGTCGAGCGCAGATCGACTGAGCGCTCAACACAGACAGCATCGTCAGATGGAAAGTTGATAAAATAAATTAAAAATTTTGTATTGTTCGATACATATGTGTACCAAACCGAAAGCACTGTATCGAACGGTTCAATATCGATACGAGTATCGTTGCACCCCTAATATATATATTAGGGGTGCAACGATACTCGTATACTTGTTTTAAATAATAACATGCTATTTAAGGTTATAATTTCTTACAAACTGAAGAAGTGTAGCCAGCCAAAGAAAATGAAGACCTCAGAGGGGTCCCATATCACCTGTAAACACTGAGTCCAGCTGACACGGCACCTGTCAGTGGGAAGGAAAGGACACATTTCACTGGAGTGACACCAGGGGGATGTTGGCTTTGCAATCTGGCTCTGCAAATCATCGTTAAAACTTTGCTCGTCTTGTGATCAGCCACTACGCCTCATGAAACTCTGGAGGCACAAGGCATCTGTCATACTCAGAGTATTTATTCTTTATTCTAGTTTCCATCTGCTGACATGTGTGCCAGCACATCCTTTAACCAAACTCTCTGCAGCCTGTCATGTACACCAATATTATTGTTTGTCACTTTGAGAATCCCAGAAAAGATTCCTTCCCTTTGTTAGACAGCTTCCACGGCAGGTTGGAAAAAATTGTTTTACAACATTCATCTCAGATATATAAAATATATAGAGCTCACCAAGTCCAAATTTACAATCCGAGATGGCAGCAGTGCATGTAGTAAAACTCTAAAATATATAATCTGTGCTGCTGAGTCGTTAAACAAGCCACACATAGAATACTGATGAGATTCTTCCCATGAACATGCTGTGGTGGTGTTTTTAAGCGCAACAAAAGTAGGCATTATGCTGTAATGCTAGCGATGCATGAAAGTTTCTACTTCACAAAGGAGCAAAACAAATTTTGTTTATCCGAGCTTTTCCAGCTTACCACTGGAAAGCACTGAACTCAGGAGTGACGTTACTCCCAGCTCTGACATCCAAGGGAAACTGAATGCAGAATACGACTAAATCATGCTTATCCAGCAGGATGGTTTACAGTGTTCTGGCAGCTGATGCAATTACAGAGATGGTGTAGATTCAGAGCTTCAAGTGAAAGCACACAAATTGCAGTTTGCTTGATTTGATGATATCTGAATTCTTTCCATACAAAACATAAACAGTTCAAGTGCATTGAAGTACTTTATTTGTTGTTGTTTTTTACTGCTCTGCGTATCAATTATTTCTGTTTATATCCACAATAAAACAGTTGTTATTGAGTTGTGTTTCTTTTAGTGATCATGCAATGCACATTTTCTTGATTAATCTTCTGAGACCATCATCTAAGTTTCTCTGGCTTTGGCCAGGCGCTGGTGGTGATGCAAAGAAAAGATTAGAAAATGAAATAAAAGTCCATAAAACATCATTCTTATATTTCATTACAGCTATTTTCACTCATTTCTCAACATCAATCAGCAAAGGTGGTGTTTAACCTGACTTCTCCCTACCATAAACTCTGTGTGACGGTGCAGCTCATTGTTCAGTGCATTCACTGCTGCACCCATCATATGTGCTGCCTCCTGTTTGCTCCATCCAAGCAGCCTTATTATATAAACAACATGCTATATTTCTAATAGTGCCAATATGTCTGAAGCCTTTTCCTGTTGCGTGCTACATGTTAGAAAGGACATCAATGAAAAATATCCTGACCTGACTTACAAGAAAGGATGTCCCAAGTTCATCTGTGCTATCTTCTTTTCTGTTAAGTTAAAGAAGATACAAGAAATCTATTTTACAGCTGTAGGTCGAGCTATGGTGTCATCAGTATAGATGAGGAGCTAAAAGATTTGCTGCTAGTTAAGTGCCTCAGCTGCAATGATAGCGTCATTCTTTTAAAGTGAGCCAAGCCAGAGAGCCAAGCTTGTAATTCCCAAGATGATTGTTGGACTGACCTTCACCTGTGGACCCGAGCTTTGTGCAGTGATTGAAAGCATGAGGCTGCAGCTTGACTCAGAGTTACAGGTTACTAGGTCAGTGGTCCTCACCTGAGAAAACCAGTGAATGTGGGTTGGAGCAGATTGTCAAGGGGGCCAGAGGCCTGTACCAGAACTGCACTCAAGTGCGGAGGCAGAATAGTTGAACTAAAGAAGTTTTATTTACAACAACACAGGGAAAACAAGGAGAGACAAACCAGGGACCTTAGCATGGCTTTATACACAATATAAGGCTTAGTGGGTGGACACTAGTGTGGTGGCGAAACAAAAACCTAGAAACTTGACTTCATACACAATTCATTACAAGGCAGAGAATCCTAGTGTGGCAGCCCGAGGTACATTACATAAGCAGTGACTGGTGGCATGGTGCTCACGGTGCACACTAAAGGGAGAGAGAGAGAAATGGTGTTAGTGGGTGCATGGGTTGGGCCAGAGATTATAGTGAATACTGAAATGGACTGCCTTACTTGGGTAGGAGGAGGCTGAGGCAGAGGTCCGAGTGGGTGGCAGAGGAGTGTTTAGGAGGTCTGACCTGAGTTTCCTAGGCCCCTGCGTGGGGTGGTGAAGGCAGGCAGGTAGTGCGGTTGGTGATACTGGAGTGTGACTGAGAATACTGAGAGGGTTTGTGTCCAGAATCCAAAAGGTGAACCTTAGTGGTGGTGTTGTGCCATAGCAGGCTGGCAGAGCAGGAGACCCGCCGACAAGGTAAGCAAACAAGGAACTTGGCTCTTGAGCTAGAGGCTGTTACCAACTTAGATGGGTTGGTGAACTGGCCTAAATACCCTCCCTTGATTGCCCAGAATTAACTCCAAGTGTGCTGCTGGGGTGAGTGGATGGTAGGCCCGCAGCAAGGTGGGTACAGGAGGCAGGGATCCACACAGGCCACACCCAGCTGCTCACGCAGACTATGACACAGATGTGACTAATGGACCTGTGGTGTATTTTTCTTTGTAAGTGTTGTAGCCATGAACGATGACTGATTAGGAGTAGATGGTTGGACTTTTTGGAAGAATGTGAAACATTTTGGAAACATTGGGATAACTCTGGTTGGTTACGCACACAAGTGCAGGAACAAGCCTATGCTGTATATGTCTAGTAGATTTAAACAGGCTGGCAGAATCATTTTCCTTTCTCTCTGTATCTCTCTTTTGGTCAGATGAGAGAACAGCTGACTGGCCTTGTGGTAATGAGCCCCCAGCGAGGACCTGTCCCAGTGGGAGCGAGTGTAAAGTGTACTGGACCGGACCCAACTTTGGTATTACCAACTTCGACAACATCCTTTTCGCAGTGCTTACAGTCTTCCAGTGCATTACCATGGAGGGCTGGGTGGACATCCTTTACAGCGTGAGTCTATCCACACTAAAACTTTGAACATCCACTTATTTGTTATATTATCCACAGAGATGTTATTTTTCCTCATTCTTCATCAACTTTTCCAGTTTTATTATCTCCATATTTTTATCTCTCTTTTTTGATAATGATATCAGGATATGTATTTTGCTGATCTGAAGAGCATGAACCCTTGTTCTAATTCTATGCACTGATCACAATAGTTTTATACTGTAGATACTTGTGGCTTGACTTCATTTCTTGTTCTATTTTTGCATTGAGATAAACCATAAAGTGCATGAATCTCATGACCTTTCCTCTAGCACTTCCCTCAGTGCAACCTTTACAGTGTTGGCCTACCACTGGAGGTTAAGGTTAGACGAGCAGAATCATGCTGTTTTTAGCTTGTTTACCTGGCAGAACTTTAAATTTTCTGAAAAAAAATTGTGCTTTGGGTCTGTGTGACCTATTTCCTCCACACTCACATGGAGCACACATTGACACCTGGAACCACGAAGGTATTTCACATTGATACATTCATAAAACTTGCAGACTTTGGACTACTTCATCTTTGACCATGCCTTTTTGTATGCATACTGTAAAACAATTGCTCAAATGTTGAACAAGTAAACAGGGGTCCGCTTCAGTGTGTCAGTGTCAGTCTAGGTTTCTGTTTGTATGGTAGTGTCACTGTTCAGTGTTAGTGTCCCTGTGCATTCACATCCACAGAATACGAGTCAGTCTGTTTCTTTTAAACGGAAACAGGAAGAAAGTCTTACGCTTCAACGCTTCATAAAAAAGACCAGCCCCCAAACAAATTAGAAGTTAAATGACCATAAATGAAATGAGAGAAGAGCTTAAAGAAGAATGTTGTCCACTCACTGGTGTTTATCTCCGATTGGTTATGATAAAGCAATCAGCAGTAACAAGTAAGTACGTAATGGAAAAATACATAAAAATTATCAGTCGTGTTGAAGAGATTGTTCAACCCAAAGAGAGACAGAGAACCAGAGTGCACTTGAGTGGAGTCAGAAAGTCATTTAAATTAAAAGATGCAAAGCGCTGCACACTGATGGCAGGAAAAAAATGTCTCAAAATGAGAAAAGAGTAAGCGAGAGAAAACGTGGGATATCCGACAACAATCTGACAAAGGTTGAGACAGACTAAAAGCAAACACACATGGAGGGAAGGACAGTAAGGAGTCTGTAAACTAAATCAGGCAGTAATGAGAGCAGAAAACTGGAAGAGAAAAGCCAGACAGAGGGAAACACAAGCAGGCACATTAAAAAGAAAAAAACACTTAGCAAAACAAGAGCTGGATATACAAATAAAAAAATAACAAACACTAAGGATAATTACATGGATAAATCTGTGAATCATAAAAACAGGAATTTATCACTTCAGTGAGGAAACTTGCAAGTAGGGGCATCCATCCATTTTCTTTTACTTATGTGAAGTTGGATCATCATGTTATTCAAGATGCTCTTTCTTCTTATGACGTTTTCAGTCCTGCTAAGGGAACACGAGGCACTCCCAGGTCAGACAAGATAGATAATCTCACCAGCGAGTTCTGGGTCTATACTGCGGGGCCTCCTCCCTTTGGGCATGCCCACAAAGGGAGACATCCCGATCATATACCCAAACCACCTCAGCTGGCTTTTCAGTGGGAAGGAGTGAGTCTAGTTTGAGCTCCCTCAGGATGTCTGGGAGTACGTGATGTGAAATAGAGTAGTGGCACTAACATTGCAGTATACGACAAATGAAAGACATAAAAATCAGAGAGGAAGCTTTTTAAATTACAGGCTGTGCTCTGCAAAACAAGTAGAAAAATGTGATATTTTTATTGGAATACCAGTTAAAGCATAAAGATGTGATCAATTGTGGCTGGAAGGAAAGGGAAAGATAAGCAATTTGGTTGGCATATTGAAAATTAAAGACTCACCCAAGATTCATTATGCACATTCACAAACATCACAGAAGAAACAACAACACTGGCTGTTTTTCCAAAAGAAAGCGGCTGTAAATTTACTCTGTGGTTTTATTTTAGGGCATGAAGATGCCTCTTTCTCCCAGAGCCTTCTTAATTCTGTCAA